CTATTTACATATTAATGACTTCATTTATATGCGTAACTCATATCCGTAGTTTTCCCTTCCCCTTATGCTCTTTGTATACACATTCTTATGAATAAAATTATGAATTATGAGAACTAGAGGCTTCTGAAGCGCCAATGGACCCCATACCTGACAGACCCTGCAGAGGCAAAAAACCAGCGTTGAATATAATCAAACGCCATTTTCTGGGTTGAGCCCCGTCGGCTCCCTGGAGCTATTGGACTGATAGTAGCTAATATTAGTACGGCGCTTCAGTCATATGAAGTTGTCATGCCTACCAGGGACCACTAGCCAGAACATGGTCCGCTCAGAGAGGCGAAGGGAGCAATGACCTATGAAACTCACATGAAGCCGAGGTGTGCAGATAATGGAGTAAAGCCACAACCGGACACAAACATGATGCACCCCCAGCCTGACCAACCTAGCATTAATAACCCACGGACCCCTCCAGAAACCCGTCGTCTCATTCTTCGCCAGAAAGAAATTCGACAGCTGCAAACGAACAAAACGTCAACCCGGACCAAAAGAGCAAAATTCCCTGCGCCGGAGGAGAGCATGAAGCTCCCGAACCCGATCTCCAGAAGTAAAATCCAACAAGAACAAAGCTTTCTGGAAACAATCTTGGACTGAAGAGGCCACCACAAACCGAGGAGAAGAAAGAAAGGAGATCACCCGGTCCAAAGACCAGGACGGCTCAGATAGTGCATGAGCAGGCCGGAGGTGGAAAAAGGTACGAGAAAGCTTGCGAAACGGCAGCTGAAATTGGCGGCCACCCTGCCCGGGGAACCTGTGACATAATCAGATGGGGCCCTGCAAGTCCTGCCCTTGCAGTTTGGTCAACAAAGTCGCGACGGGGTTTTCCAGTGTCCGCAGGGGGGCGTGTCCCTATGGGAAGCCCGGGTGCTGGACCGCCAAAGCTGGTTGTATCCCAGTAATTGATCGGGCAAACTGGCCGATTAATCTGAGTTGAGCAACCGCAGAGACCCAGAGGAGGACCGCCCTACTGAACCTAGATAGCACCTAATATGGACTGTAGCAGCCTCCCAGAAGGCAAGAAAAACTAAATTCTGAAAGAGAACTCCGAGGAAGCACCACAACCCAAGGGACCAGAAAGAGTCATGGCAACTGCGATTATGCAAACTAGGCAGCCTAGAACGCCCCGATCATCAACTTACCACTCCCTACCAAGGCCCAAACAAAAGTATCAGAACCTATGCTGACCCCAAGGACGAAGCAGCGAACCAAGCAGTCACTATCCCTATGGGAATGGGGACCAGAAGGATCCAGAGAAGAGAACTCTGAACCCCAAGGTGTGTACTCACAGGACGCTACGGGAAGAGAGCCCTAGGCACAAGCAGCACTTGGTACACGGGAGACATCTCCCGTCACGCAGGGTGCAGTCGCACCTCCACAGATTTCCAGCATCAGCTCTTGATACTGGTAATGGCTCAAAAGGGCCACCACTTACGGGCTATTCACGCCCGTGCCACCTTTTGGGTGGCTTAATCTTTATCAATCATCAGCACTTGGAACAAACTCCTGGCCACCACCAACACACAAAAGGAACACCAGTAGGGTGAAGCCAATCAGGTAATCTAGGCCAGAGCAGGAATCCACCCTATATAGCTTCAGTCGAAAAAACTGACAGTCCGGCGGCTGGCTCGGTGGGCTGGGACCCTTCCTCTTTCGCCTCTCTCGGGGGGGGGGGGGGGGGGGGGGAGAGTTAAATCGTCGCGAACGAGGGCACGCTGTGTGATGACGTGTTGCTTTTTTTCTTTGGGGGAAGTTTCTCGCTTCTGTTCGGTGTCAGGTTGCAATATTTCTACCAAGTGTTTTGAAACGCCTACCATTCTGGGTACTCAACCCCGGTCGATGGCAGACATGAATACTTTCATACATGTGAGTTTCATAGGCCATTGCTCCCTTCGCCTCGCTGAGGGGACCATGTTCTGGATAGTGGTCCCCGTAGGCATGACAACTCTATATGACTGAAGCCCCGTACTAATGTTAGCTAATATCAGTCCAATAGCTCCAGGGAGCCGATGGGGCTTCCCACCAAAAAGGACAAATTGGAAAAGTTAGTACAGAGTACGGAGCCGAAATCCTGCCCAAGAAACAAAACACTAACACAAAACCCAGTCTCTTGCGCAACCACTTAAGTACCCACCAAGAAAACCAGGCATGCGCCAATGCCAGACAGAACAGCTAATACAAGTACAGCAATGCAGCCATCTACAAGGAGAGGAAACCAACCAAAAGTCCCAAGTAGGACCCAGCTAGACCCGAACAGATTGGATCCAATTGAGACTCGCACCAGATGACCAGAAACCTGAGCCTGGAAAGCTGGAAAAGAACCAGACTTGCCAGTCTGTAAGACTAGGCTTGCAGACTAGCCAGAATCCCAAACCAGTCAGTTGTTGAGGCAGGCCAATACCAGACCCACAAAAATCAAAGATGAGAATCATGACCTGGAAAAAGGGAAGAGAGAGGAAGAACCCAAAAATGGTAACAGTGATGCCCTGACAAAACTAAACCAGATCTATGAAGAAATGGGAGAGGCCAAGAGGCATCTTGTACAGCCAGAACAAACCAAAATGCCACCTGCCAGGCTAAGGGGACAAAACCCAATGAGGCCATGTTATAAGTTGGACAAAACACAAAAAGAGTAATCGTGAGAAGCCAAGAATTGGCCAAAAGACCTTAGAAACCTACTGGAGACTGGAAACAGACCAATATACCCACTGGGAACAGTAGCCAACCTGACCACCCCAACGCCCAACCAATGACTGATTGGAGCTGCAGAAATGACTGACCCAGGACAGCTGATGCCAAAAAGGTGGGGGCTGAAGACTACCACCGCAGATCCTGGGACACTACCCAGAAGACCCAAGCATCGTGAGTTCAAGAACCAAAGAGAGAGACCAGACGGAACCTCAGTGTCATCAAAAAGGGTGAATCGCAAAAAACTGGCATCACAGGAAGCCTATGCCAAGCAGGAACAGGCGAGACCAAACACCAGAAGACCACTCCTGCGCTGCGGGAACAGAACCAATCCAGAACAAGCCACAGTAAAGATGTTGTAAGGACAAAACAGCCTTTGATAAAACACAGAAGAAGCCACTATATGAAGCAGGAGTGGGGAGGCATAAACCAGGGAGAGAACTAGGTTGAATTAAAATGTGGGCGAGGACAGCTCAATCACAAGCCAACATTAGGAACAACCAGTACCACCTGCAGGACAGAGCCCAGAACCAGGGATCAACCATCACTGTCCCAAATTCTGAACAGGATGCAAAAATCTGGCCGAGCCTAAGGAACCAGGGTGTTGGAGACCATAAGCAGCAAGCCAATTCCCCAAAGAAGAGGGGACATCTACAAGGCAGGGTAAGGTCAGGACACCAATACTGAACTAGACTACAAATCCCAGAAGGAAATTGTGGCAAGACTGCTTGCACAAAACACTGGGGATAAACGAGTTGCTGTTAACCCCTGCATAAAGGACAATTCCAGGGAACCAGTGAGTACATGGAAATGCACATGGGAATGAGCAACCAAAGAAACAAACTCAACTGCAATGGAGGAGAAAGATACCCCCTCTTTTATAGAGGAACTATGCCTCAAAAAGGATCACCAAGATCATGAAAGGTCGAAGAACACCCACAAACCCACCTCGGGCCCTTCCCCGACTCTTGGGCTCCTACTCAGTGCCCCATCAGAAACACAACTTTGGAATAAAAACAGCTGAGAAAGACAGTCTGTGCACTGCAGGACAACCACTCAAATCTGTGTGCACTCCCAAGCAAGAACAATCTGCCCTTACCCTAGAGCCTCACAGAGAAGTTAGACTCCTGCACTACTCCGAGGGAACAAACATAAATGGAACAATTGCAAACATAGGCTATGTATGGGATGGCTAACACTTATTTGAAGAAAAAATGAGACCTGAAGGAAGGAGGCGAGACGAAGATCACTTGTGGAAGGGGCAACACCAGATTTATCACTAATGTGTTGGCAATAGGCAGTCCTTGGGCTCCTAAAGCCAACACTTAGTGCTAGTGGTGCGTAACTATTGGGAGATACCAGTCTAGCTGTCAGGTTCCCTGTTGTCACGATTGCTAATATTTCCTTACAGTTTTGTTTTGCCTTGGTCTACCTTTCTGGTGGTCTATTTTCTCGGTTTTGGTGACCAAGTATTCCCTGATACCTGCACCTCTGAGTGGACCGGTTTTTGGCTTCTAATTTGCGTAGGGGATATTCTGACTCACAAGAGCCTGATGTGATGTACATGTAGAGCGAGTACCAGGGTACCACTGAAGGAGCCCTTTCAGACAAGTGTTAAAATGGGACAAAAACAAATTTAGACAAAATAAGCAATAAAAGTTAATAAATGATACACAAGCCACTTTAGTGAAATCTGGTCTCTAAAGGATGTGTTGAAGTTTGGAAATACTGTACTGTATTTTCATAAAAAGAGTTGATAATGATAAACTATGAAAAATCTAAATACATGATATTATGATTTATTATAAAACAATAAATACTTCATATGTCTTTGGAAAACAGAAACACAAGCAGGACTTATTTGAAAGTTAGATGCATAATACTAATAATAAAGTAGTATTTACTAATGACCTGGCCCAGGATTCATCAAGCATTTATTCATACTCTTGAAACATCTGAACATCTTTCCTAAATCATGGCAACTTTGCTTACACACACAGTATTAAACTGTAAGAGCTCAGAATCACGGAGATATTGATTATATTACTAACATCCTTAGGCTATGAAGGTCTGAAACTCGTACACTGTTTCTTAAATATAAATAAAGCCACCATGGTTATGGAAATGATGTCATAGGCTTCGTGAGTTGGTGTGTAAATGCTCGATGAATCCTGACCATGATATCTAATCTAATCCCATTATACAAAAAACAATGAGTGTGATTAATATAACAACAATATTCAAAAGAAGATTTGTCTGACCTGCCACGGGAAGGAACCGAAACCAGCCTCGGTACCACCAACAATCCTACGTTGGGCAGACAGGCGGCTACTTGTACTAAGACCACAGCCTGTAATACCAATTATAATAATTCATTTTGTGCAAGAGAAGCACCCTTTGTATATATATTAATATATAATGCTAGGCTTATATTGAGGTCCTCCACAAGTCCAAACTACTGAACTTACCTATGATGCATCCCCACAAGAAGCTAACTCCCTGGAACCTATTTACTGCTGGGTGAACAGAAGCATTAGGTGATATGAAATGCGCCAAGTCAGTTGTTTCATCTGAGATTCAATCCCGGGATTCCCGATTGCACGTTGAGAATGAACCCAGTTGACCCTTAATGACTTGAATGATAAAAATTTATCATTTCATTCCATTAATGAAATGGAAACACCGAGTCAGCATTAAAAAATATAAATCTTTATTAGTAAAAATTTATTATCTATTAGTCTTATTTTATTTATATATACAAGAATTCTTACATTCTTCTAAAGCCTAAAGCATGCATAGCGTTTCGGGCAAGTTCTTAATCCTAATTTTCCTTGCCAAATCGTTTAACAACCAGGTATCCATTCACTGCTGGGTGAACAGATGCTACAGTTAAGGATTGGCACCCGGTCAATCCTCCCCGGCCAGGATAAGAACCCAGGTCAAAGCGCTTGCGAAGCGCATGGTAAGTGCTTTACCACTACGCCACGGGGACTGCTAATTATATATACAGCATAATAATACTGTAATAATAATAAATTATTATTATTATTAATTAATGTTCTGATTTAACTGATACGTGTCCCTTCCACTATGGTGTTGGATTAATAAGGCAATTTCGAATGGATTGATGGCTGCATCTCTTGAGAGAGGAAAGTGTTCAGGTGCAAACCAAACGACTGCCCACTAGCCAAGAGGAATCATGCTACCTCAGACAAAGCCCTGACTGCCTACAGTTGTTGGTTCTAGGTATCAGCATCCCAGCAGTTTGGTCTCAGACCAGGTCTCCCAAGACACAAAGAAAACAAAAATTCAGCCTCCACATGCCCACCAACCAGCACTTAAGCAATTGAGGACTGTGTTTCTTAGGTCCCAACAGCAAGGGATGGAGGGTTGGAAGATAAGTGCACTACAACTGAAGGATCAGCAGCCAATGTCCTCCAAAGCAGGGTTCAAGTAAAGCTCCCTTGATTCTGACTATACAAATATATCTTTCAACTATCAGGAATAATGGTTATAAACCCATGGAACTACCTACCCCGCTGAAGCTGTAAATGGCAAAACTTTGTTCAATTTTAAAATCCAATTGGAAAAAAACATCAGGACAAATGGGGGGGGACCTTTGGCAAGCCGCCAGCTTCCTGTCTATGTCAATGCCACTAGAGTATTAGTGGCCCTCAGGTAAATTCAGGAAAATCTTTCGCGAAGAAGAAATAATCATACAGAGCTACCGAAAGGCTGGGAATGTAATTAACCAGGTGAATAATCCAATGACTGTAATATGATGTGCAGTTCAAGATGGTGAGGAATCCAATATAATGAATCAAAGTTATATGGTAAAGAATTTGGTAATGTTATACCATGTATCAAGAAAAGATAATATAACCACTGAACATTTTTCTTTATAAACATTATTATTAATAAAAGTTATGTTAAAAAGAATCCTTTACCAGTTACAAAATAATTTAAAAGTTATCACCTTAAAAAAATCATAAAAAAAACAACTTACTACAAAACAAGAACTTAAAAAGTTCAAAATGCACATGCAATACAACCTGATAATAAGTACATGAACATATTAGTGCACAAAGAACATCTAATTCCTCCATCCGGCTACCTCTTACCATGATCATTACGGATAGGGCCATAATCTACTGGAATAAGACCCACACTGTCATCTCTGAATGACTCCGGACCACGTTGTCCTCTCTGGTTGGGTCGGTTGCAGCATGCAAAGAGGAATCCACCACAGCCTCCGTCAATCAAGCCTCCACCCATCCAGCAGAGGAGGAAAAATTCACAGGATCCTGCATAGCACAGAGATGGGTCGCCCAAGAAGAGTCGCTTGGTGGCATGTGTGATGCCTGAAGAAGGTGAGAGTTAAATCAGTAATTATTATGTTTTTAGTTTTCTGCTTTAAAAGTTAAGAGTAATTCTAACCATAGGCCCCTAGATCTCAAGCTCTTGTCTTTAGCATTATAGTTCCAAACACAGTATTGGAATATGTTCTTCAAATGTCATTTAAAAAAAAAACACATTATATATCTTATAAATTAAAAAAGTAAATAAGTGTGCAATTTTATATAAACAACATACTTGATCCGAGACTTCTTTGAGGTGTAGTGCGTATATTCCGGTCTAGTGGCAGCGCTAAGGGTCTATCATTAGGCCCTCCAGGGCCTTGCAGATCTCCTCCAAGCATCAGCTCCTGCTCTAGCTCTGCCACCCCAGCTCCTGCCAAGCCCAAACGCTCTGCTATTTGAGTTGCTTGAAGAGCATCCAAGCTGAACCTGGAATTTGGTATTTAAATTTGAGTTACATTTCTATATCTACTTATTATGCAATGCATAAAACTGGCTTTACAAAGTAAATCCACGCTGGTCTATCTGGAGAGCATCCTGGTGGACATGTGCAGACTGGATTTTAAACAAGTGAATGTTTTATTAAGCCTTAATTCTGATTATTTTTATGTTGATTATGTGTTGTAATTGTCAAATATGATTTGTAATTAATGGTTACTTAAACAAAATGAATATAAAGATTTCATTATGAATTTAACCTTTGGGTTAAATTATTGATAATTATTTACAATTATTGATAACCATAATTTTATTGGGAGATTATTCAGTGCTCTTCAAATTAACAATTATCTTGGAAATTAAAAAAAAACAGCGTTGAATGTAATGAAACGCCATTTTCTGGGTGAGCCCCTGAGGCTTCCTAGAGCTATCAGGCTGATGTGTGCAATATTAGTCTGGGGTATCAGTCAATTGGAGTTCAGCCTACCGGGGACCACGAGCCAGAACCTGCTCCCCCCCCCCCCTCAGAGAAGCAAAGGGAACAATGGCCTATAGAAACCCCCATGTGGTTGGGGGCATTCTATGTCTGCCATCGACCGGGGTTGGCTCCTACAAAGGTAGCGTAACAAAACAAACCCCACTTGGTAAGAAATTGCGACTGAAAAAACAAACAGGGAGGCAACACTCACCCTACAATTTAAGGAAACAAGCAAACTTCACACCTCACTGTTGCGGCGCCTGTATGCACAGCTCCCCCCTCCCCCTCCTAGGGGGATTGGGGGAGCCCCCGGCACCGGGTTCCCATGCCATCCAGTTCGGAGGCTGAACATCAAAAGTAACGGAACGGCCGATCGGAGTGAGGAAGGGTTTTCCATGGCGCCTCCGGGGTTCACCCAGAAAATGGCATTTCATTACATTCAACTATACCACTTGCTCCTTAACTCAAAGTCGAGACAACTGGCTGCAACCTGCGACCCAAAGTCATACACGGATGACTAGGACCAGGAATGTTGATGAGATAACGTACGATCAGGACTCTGTTCGACCTCCAAAATCCCCGCGCCAGAATATCAGCCCAGGACATATTGTCGAAGACGGCAGCCAAAGCAGCAAACTTCCAAACGTTGTGGGCCGCAGGCTGGCTAGACTTAATAACGCTGCGAGTCCAGAGACTGGAGTCCTGGAACAGGGAACAAGGGAAACCAGATCAACCCAAAGTGCATCCCCGGCCACAGAAGCCAAGGTGCGCAGGTAACAGCGAAGAGCCGCAGCCAGACAACACACGATGCACCCCCTGCCTGACAAACCACGCATCAATGACCCAAGTGCCCCTCTGGAAAGCAGCCATCTCGTTCTTTGCTAGAAAAGGAGGAGACTGCTGCAACCAAACAAACCGACTACTAGGACTGAAAGAGCAGAAACCCCCCTGCGCCAGAGGAGAGCATGAAGCTTTCCCATCCTACCCCTAGAGGCCAATGCCAACAGAAAAAGAGCCTTGGAGAAACAGTCTTGAACAGAAAGGGCCACCACGAACCGAGGAGAAGAGAGTTAAGAAAGCACCCTGTCCGAGGAGAAGAGAGATAGGAAAGCACCCTGTCCAAGAACTAGGACGGCTCAGACGGCACATGAGCAGGCTGGAGGTGAAACAAAGCACGAGATAGCTTACGGAATGGGGCAGAAGACACATCCACCCCGAACGCAAGCTGAAGCGACTACCATTGCTGCACGAAACAAGGCGACAGTATCAGGCATTATATGACAGTCCTGAAACAGCCAAGATAGAAAGGACAAAACAACCCAATCAGAAATAGAGGTCAACCTACAAAGAGAAAGAAAAACTGGAGAGAACACCAGGAAACCTTATACTTTCGCCGAGAAGAAGCCCGCAGGTGGGACACCATCAACGAAGCCAACTTATCACCATACAAATGGTAATAGACCTGCATCAAAAAGACCAGACGCGAAAAGTGGAAGAGAACACTGAACCAGCCTAGTACCTGACCAGACCGATCTGCTCAAAGACACAGAACCGCGGAAAATATCTGTTTCGGACACTAAGCAAGCAGCGCCTAAATCCAAGGCTGTGCCAGCCACCAAGGGGCCAACAGGACTACTCTCCCCTGGTAAGTCTCCAAACAAGCCAGGACCCGAAGTAACAGCTGAACCGAGGGGAAGAGGTAATGGTAACCCCTCCTTGATCAGTCCTGTTGAAAAGCATCCACCGTGATGACTTTGCAGTCAGGGAAGGGTGCCACATATATCGGGAGACGCCGAGACCACGCTGACGAGAATCAGTCCACCTCCGGGCTCCTGAACGTCTGGCAGAGCCAACTGAAGGAGTTGACATTGATCGTCCATTCCGTGGACAGGGGAATAAACTGAGACAGGTTGTCTGTCAGGACGCTGAACACTTCCTGGATATGAACCGTACAGAGAGCCAATCCCCGAGAATCCAGCAGACAAGTCACTCCAAACAACCAGCCCCAAAGAGCCAAGGACCGAACAGAACCCCAGCAGTTCAGGCAATGAACCACCAAAGAGCTGTCTGAATGGAACCAGATCGTGAAACCCTAAGCAACCCAAACCCTTTGAAGTGACAGCCAAACCGCCGCAAACTCCTGCACTGTGCTGTGAGCCTAACTGAAGGACAGACCTCATCACCCCTGACAGCTTGGTGAGCACTGGTCAAAAAAGTCCCGGCCAAGAGACGTGGCATTGGTGAACACATCGAGCAAGGGCTTGGGTAGGCACCACGGGACTGAAACCCGAAAAACAGAACAGGAAGTTGCGATGCAGTAACCGACGCAAGGCTTCCTCGAGGTCAAACCCAATGATCACGAGAGAGGCAGAAAGGAGGACCCCAAAAGAACCAGAATAAACGCCGAAGCCAGGCCCGACCCAGCGAGTAAACCAGCACGGAGATGTTCAGGCTCCCACACAACTGCTCGAGCAATTGTCAAGTGACCCGGAAACCCCACCAAAACAGCTGAAGGCAGGACTTCAGCATGACTCTGGAGGGAGAGACAAGAAAGTGGTCCAAGAGTTCCACACGAGACCCAGCCAGGTTCGAACCTGGGCCAGAACCAGATGGGACTTTCTCCAATTCACTTGAAACCAGAACCCTACGAGCTGGGAAAGAACCACACTCCTGGCGAACAGTCAAGCAGACCGTCTAGGAGCCCACACCAACCAGTCATCGAGATCAGGTAAGATTCATGAATACGCAAGTTGCCAGATTCAAGCCAAAAGGAAGGCAACAAAAGTGGTAAGCCTGACGCCCCACCACAAAACCTGGTGGGGCATCAGGAACGTGCCAATACACATTCCTGAGGTCCAGGGACACCATCCAGGCTCCCGGCCTCAAGAGAAGCCATACTTGAGGAAAGTGATCATCCGAAAGGAGGGGCAAGTCCAGAATGAACCGCAAATCCACACAGTTCCGTTTCGGTATTGGAAACAGGTGGGAAACCCACCTGAGGGATGGGGTCATTTCGACCACGCCCAAGTGCATCCACTCCGAGATGACCCAACATCATGCAGGGGAAGAAGCCTACCCCACGAGCCCTGAACCTCCCGAAGGAGGAACCACCGCCTAACGCCACCACCGGCCAGTGGAGATGACCCAAAACACCCACAAATCATGGGACCAAGCATGAGCAAACAGAGCCAGCCTCCCTGTCAAAGAGGCGAACCGCGAAAGGGCCCCTTACGAGAAGCCGACCGACGAACAGAGCAATCACCATGCTGACCAGACGACGTCGGCTTAGAAACTGGCAACAATGGCCCACCTCGACCAGCGGAACCCTGAGCCCTGGCAAGACCCTTCCTAGAAGACCAAGAACGGCCGCCCTGGAAAACCAGCAAGTCCTACATGGGACGACAACTAGACAAAACTACGTGACCACAAACAGCAACAAACAAAACGGCGATGAAAACCGAAGAGCCAGGGCCCAAGCCGATATCAAAGAAAGAGCAAGCACAGCCTGACGTTATGCGAGGTGAGAAGTAAACCACAGATCGACTGCCTCCTTGAGAATCAACGTAAAGAGTTTCAACAGCGTGGCCGACAAGGTCATCCCACCAGACGATGGCCCAGTACCCAACGCCTCCACATCCTCCTCCTCAAGCCAGGTCGAAGACAGCTCGAGAATGAAAAAGAAACGCAAGACCAAAGACAAATGCCCATGGGCACATAAATTCTCAGTGAACAAGGACGCAAAAAGGGAAGGAACCTGCATGTGCAGCTGCATAAGGCCAACGTCCGGAAGAAGCACAGAGGCTAACAAGCATGGATTAAGATGCTCAAACTCGCTCCCCAGGTAAACCTACAGAACGGTGGAAGTTTCTCGCTAATCAAGCATGCAGCTCTGACAGAGAACCCATGCCATGCCCACAACGAAAAGCAAGGGCAGTCTGCCAGCCAGGAAGACTCCGGAACCTCTAAACGCACCCAGTATGGAGGAAGAAGAACTGAACTCAAACGAGGACGAATCCATCACGGAGGCAGAATCCGGGTCTCGCAGGAGTTAAGTTTCAAGTACCTCCCGAACCTCCTTAGGTTAGATATGAGAGACGAATACCTATGGAAAGAAGGGGCTGAGGAACCTGGAACCAAACCCAGGGAGGAACAGACCCTAAATCATACTCATACAGGGATGGGGGTAAGAAAAAACCCCTTCCCCAGCAATAACAAGCCCCGCGATGAGAGCACCACCACTCAAGCGAGGTCAAAGGCAGCCCAAGCCCCTCCCCAGAGCCAACTCCTCACAAGCCCTGGAAACCTCCAAATTAGGACCCGGGGCAGGGCAGTCCACCATACCTTCTACCCGTGAAAAAACGCAGAGTCCAGGGAAAAGGCAGAAAAGCCTGCTGGTGGGACCCAGAAGCCTCAGTAGGAGGAACCGGCTCGAATGCCTCCGTCCCCAACCCGAACAGGGCAGCCCCCAAAGCTGCTCGAGACTCGTTACCAACTAAGCCCTCTCTCGACTCCGAAACAATCAGACGTTTAGGAGCCAGAAGCAGGGGAGGAAGAGGTGTGAACAAAAGGGAAAGGACCAGGGAGCGCGGACTGAACCAAAATCGAAGCAACTATCTCCCACAGGTCTGGGTCCCTATAACCAAAGCAGGGCAGCCTCAGGGCATCTGGGTGGGCAACGAACCTAGTGTGTTGCAGCAACCGAAACCTAGCATGCAACGCGGATGCTGCCTATACCCGAATAGCAATATCATCAGAATGAGAATATTGGTGAACTAGCAGAGAGCCCGACTCGCAAGACTCCGGCGACCCAACAGACAGCATGACGGAAGCAAAAACAGTGACTGTCACCCTGAGACAAGGGCGCACAGCAACTTTCAAATTTGCACGTGGCGAGGTGGAACCCAGAAGAGGCATCCCTAGTTCTAATGAGTTCCAATGGGTTTTTTCCAGGTCCACAGGATGACTGCTACGGGAAGCCCAGGCAAGGTACAGCAAAACTGGCTTGGCCCAAACTAACAAAGAAATCTGCTAAAAGTTGAACCCCTGCGACGGGTACAATCACGGGTGACTAGAGGAGAGCAACCCAAACAACAGAAATGAGCTAATAGCCAAACCAGGCAGACCCCCCTCCAGGCAAGGGAAAAAAAAAAACGGAAAAGTACAACGTCCTCAGAGGAACAGAAACCGGCTTCTACATTGGTAGGCGAGCTGCATTGTACCTCTCGCCCCTACCAGCAAACGATACCGCTTCCTACCCAATTCCAAACAAAGACCATGAAAACCCCAGCTGGCCCCAAGGGCGGGGTAAGAGCCAAGCGGCAAAGACCCCCAAGGAAACAGTTCCCGAAAGTTTTGTGGAAGGGAACCCCTACAACCCAACAGTAGTTTAGGGCGCTCAAGGAAGTGAACCCTGAGCTCATGCAGCCCCAGTAATATGTAAAGTACACCTGGCCACCGCGCTTCACACTCAGCAGAAACACACCACTAAGGCACACATTTGCACTGAAATCTGAAACCAGAGTCCACGTCGGTCCCGACCACATCAGCCAACAAAATGAATGGCTTGGGTAGCCGGCGTGGGGGGTCTAGGGCTCCCCCCTCCCCCTCATCACAGCTCCTGTGGATTTCCTCATTGATATATCTCGAAAATGTGATTTCTCTGTGTAAGGAAGATTTTGCTCCTGTACACAAAAAGAAAAGCCGTTCAGTGATTGGTAACTACAAACCAGCGTCACTGCATTTCATTACTGCAAATTATATAATATGTTGTGCCATCATCGGCTACTATGTGATCGACAGTATGGTTTTAGAAAAAGCCGATCTGCTGCTGATATCTTGCTAATCTCTCCACTATGTGGCATCAGTCACTGGATGAGTTCAAGATCAGCTGTGTTGTTTTTCTAGAAATAGCAGGAGCCTTTGATTGGGTCTGGCACTCTGGATTAGTAGTGAAGCTTCAAGCACTTGGGATCCCAGGCTCTATCTTAGAGTTAATGAAAGACAATTTTCAAGAACGGACTCCTAAGAGTAGTCCTCAATGGAGCATAATCCAAAAGCCACTCAATTGGTGCCAGCATTCCACTGGGGAATGTGTTTGGCCCTCTGCTGTGGAATGTCTCTTTCAACGATCTACTTCATCTCATTCCTGAAAGCTCAAGCCTATGCTGATGACTGCACTCAAACCTTTACATACAGAAAGGAAGAAATGCCAACTGTTGCAAGACTCATCAATCACAAACTTTCAGCGATTTCTACCTGGGGATGGCAGGTCACAATTGCGGTTGAGAAAACACAGGCGATGCTGATAACTAGACGGCACGTTACAAACCTGACAGACTTGCAAGTGGGTGGCAAAAGACTAGAGTTCACAGATGAAGCTGACATTTGAAAATGAAGTTAGACTCTTCAATGACAATGAAGAGCCACGTGCTTAACTTAGCCCCAAAGGCAGCCAGGAACTTTACAGCCCTACGGCGCATATCACCTTCTTGACGGCAGGGGCTGCGAAACCTTATATGATGCACAAGTTTGCTCATCTAGAGTATGCACAAGTTTGCTCATCTAGAGTATGCACCCCTTTCATGGATTGCTTGCCCTCCCAACATTCATCAGGCTTTTGGACAAAGTGGAGAGCTGTGCAAGATGGCTCATCTCTAGTCTTGACTAAGTCTGGTGAGAATGGTCTGAACATCAGAGCCTGCAACACCGTCGTGACGTTGGTAGTCTTACTGTTATATGCATGGCCAACATTCTCAAAGTTCCCCACCTGGCCCAACTTCGTAGACAACCAGTAGTTGGCACCTGTAATTCTTGACTCTCAACCTTTAACAGTCTCATGTTGGAATTGCCTGTTCACTCAGCAGGTTGATACATGGGAGATCATGTCAACTGGTCACCTAAAGACTGGCACACAGTTGGCTACAGGCTCATTCTGTTCCTTATAAGAGTGTTACCTAATTTTTAATTAAAAAGTTTATTCCTAATGCATATAATAGGCTCATTAAATAAATGTGTTTCTAGGAGTAGGTTTCAACAGAGCTGAGGTAGGATAACAGCTCTTGCTTGCAGTTTCACTATGTACGCCTTTTGACAGCTCTTATGAACTCTAATTTTAGATAAAGAGGAAGACAGAGAAAGAGAGACCTTGCCATCCCCGTGTGCCCATCAAGTATATTGTGTGTTGGGCATGTGGTTGATGGTGTAGTGATAGGGTGTGTGCGCGCGCGCGCGCGCGCGCGACGTGGTAGTGTTGACTGTGGTATAATGACTATGTGCTGGCAGTCACCGTGGGCCCTGGGGGAAGTGTACTTGTATTCCTCGAGGGGCACCATATCCATGTCTGGAATTAACGCTCAAATAAAAGTTTGCACGCATAATTAATTTTTTAACACGATAATTAACTTCAATGGTCTGTTACAATGAAGTGTCATCAACTGCATTGTGATTGTTACGTAGTCTACTAATTACAGTAATAGCTCGCTCAAGCAGAAGGTAACTGAAGAATCATACACGTTAATACTTACCTAGTTAAGATACTGTTGAACTCTTCTTGTGTGAGAGTGGCCGATTCTTTGTCAACGGATCTCTTGAGCATTGGGGAGGCACCATCGCCAGCCGTCGAGTTGGGGTGAGGCACTTGAGTTGCAGTTGTGGTGATGGTGACTGCGTTAGTTGGGGTTGCAGAGACCTTCCCCTCCCCGTCGAGTATGGGGAGGGAAGGTTCGACTTGGGAGGTAGCAAGTGGAGGTACAGACGAACGGATGACATAATCAGAAGAAGAAGGACTCAAGACCTGACTCTCTCTAGTTACGAGGCGATCAGTCTTTGATAGGACTAGTACTTGGCTTGTTATGGAATGATTAATACTGTTTGTGATAGGGTTTAGATCCGGTGATGACGATAGACTAGGAATATGACGGAGGTGCGTGATTGATGCAGACTGCAAGTCCTGTGTAGGGTTAAGATCCAATTCCGCAGCTTGGTGTGAATCATAATGGGTCAGGATCACCGGAGTTGTGCTTGGTGACTGATCAATAACTTTAGTTGGCTTCGCCTGACTACCCCTATAGGGCGTTTTGCTCATCTCGTCCAGCGAGAGGTGCGTAGGAACGGGACTCAAGTCAGAATAGCGAGTCGCATCATGACTGGACAGAAGGATTAGATCTTCACTAAGAGATGGAAGCAAATGGTGGGTGGAAGAGTGACTTAGTGAGGTATGGTGAAGATCCTGCCCCAGCACTGAAGACGTCCACACAAGTATGGCGACCACCACGCTCTCCAACATGGCCGCAACCCGGCCCGTCTGTAAAGAATAATTGCGTTTACCACAGGTTGTTCTTTGCCTTAAAAAAATGGGACGAGTTTAAACAAGGAGAACAAAAGCAAAAGAAAATATATGAGATTGGTTACACTCATTAATGAATGATTTGCTGGTCATAAAACTGAATTTCGCAAATGGGTGTTTTATAAAGAATTTATTTTGTGCAAAATAATTTGCATGAAATTAACCTTTTCAGTCACAAAGCTTCCGTGAACATAAGAACATAAGATTAAAGGTAACTGCAAAAGGCCTGTTGGTCCATTCGAAGCAGCTCCTATTCATAACCACCCAATCCCACTCATATACATGTCCAACCCGCGCTTGAAACAATCAAGGGACCCCACCTCCACCACGTTACGTGGCAATTGGTTCCACAAATCAACAACCCTGTTGTTGATTTGTTGCTTAGTGACCAGTGAACGTCTGAGGTAGTAACGACTCGGTGTGCGAACCCACAAGAAGCCGTTAAGAGGCTATAGAGGACACGACAGAGGTCACAATAAGCAAGTGCTCCTTATGATTTTCGCCTATAAAGAGGCAAGCAGAACGTCGACTGTTACCCCTAGAAAGGGAGCGTTTTATTGAACTGTGCCAACGAATAGGCTGGGGGCACTCCTGTGTTGACGCTGAACAAATTTGTAGTAACCAGTGAGGTGAGCAAGTGTAGCAGAAATTAATATCTCTGGCTATCCTATAAAGACAGCGAAAATAGTGAACAGGCTGTGACGGCGCCCTTTATAGAAACTGACCCAACCAGTGAAGTCGACCATTGTAATATCTTCCATGGCAGTGAATCAGTGCACTGGGCACTGACACAAGGCTGCTGGGAATCAAGTGATAGGAAATTACAAATCATGTTGGATTTATACTAGTATGGGGTCAGGTGAAAACAAGTAGACCAATACAAATGGGTCAAGAATGAGGCATAATGAGAGGAAAAAGTAAGACAAAGTTTAAAGGCCTTTAAAGAAAAAGGCCATAAATGTCCGATCCACATACAAAAATTAATCAGGTGTATTGGGCGTAGCATGTTGAGCAGTGTCTTCTATGTTGGCATTTTCGCGTTCAGGTCTTGTTCTTACTCTCCTGGTGGGTAGAGTGAATATTTCCGTAATTTGGGTATTTATGGTAGGTTGTTCTATATTTATGTAGATTGCTTCAAGAATTTGTAATCTTCGTACATCTTTGGTTTTGTCCATTATACAAGTGGTTTTTATTCAACATTTCTCTTGTAAGGGTGATGTCATGGGCTTGTCTCATGTGATTTTTAGGAGCGCCTGAGTGAAGATGACAGGTCAAACGCCTCGTTAGCTTGGTCGACGTCATACCTATGTACTTAGATTGAAGGTTACATCCTTCGTGAGGGCACGTGTACATATTTACCACGTCTGACTGCTGTACAGGGTTTTCCGTCGGTTTTGGGCCGTTTTTAATAAGAAGATCGGTAGTCTTCTTTGTTTTATAGTACATGATTAAATTAAGTCTATGTTTTGGTTAGGGATTCTACTTTTTACTCCTTCATGGATTATGTCTTTCATTATTCATTCTTCTTTTTTATGTTCACTGTGCATGGTTGATTTGTAATATAATTTTATTGGAGGCGTTGTGGTTTCTGTTCTTGGTTCAGGATTGTACCATCGGTCTAGGTGTGGTCTTATAGTAGTGTTTTTTCTGTGTTGCTATATCCATTGTTCACCAACACATGAGTTATTCTTTCAAACTCTCTACTCACATTGCTCCATTCGGAGCAGTGGGTAAGCGCTCGACGAATATAAGCGTTGAGAACACTGGCTTTGTATCTTTGGGGGCACTCACTCCTACCGTTTAGGGATAATCCTATGTTTGAAGGTTTAGTATATACACTGGTTCTTAAAGAGGTTCCTGTTTTTGTTATAAGTACATCCAGGAATGGCAGACTTATTTTCACTATTTTCATGAGTAAACAGAAGTAATGAGTCTCTCTCTAGATGGCTTTTTAGGTCGGTTAGTTCATCTGGGTCTTTTACTATGACAAATATGTCATCTACATAACAGCAGAATATTATTGGTTTTTGTCTACTACTGAAGACTCTCTCCTCAATGGTGCCCATGTAAAAATTAATGAATAATACACCTAAGGGGGAACCCATTGTTACTCCGTCTATTTGTAGATGCATGTTACCTTGCGGACTGATGAAAGAGGCTTCTGATGAAATATAAGGGGGACTGATGATATATATTATATAATATTATTATAAAAAATATAAAATATATTATATATATATATATATATATATATATATATATATATAACCTATAAAGATAGGTTAGGTTAGCTTATATATATATATATATATATATATATATATATATATATATATATATATATATATATAAATGCGAACAAGCCTGAATAGTCACCAGGACTATATGCGACTGAAAACTCACACCCCAGAAGTGACTCGAACCCATACTCCCAGGAGCAATGCAACTGGTATCTACAGGACGCCTTAATCCGCTTGACCATCACGACCGGACAAAAAGAAGTGATAGCCGAAGCTATTTGAACCACTTCCCCGCCAAGTGGTTCAAGCCTAACTCGAAAGGAACGACGATAGAGGAAGCTTTGAAGGAAGAGAGGGAGATTACCACGAAGGCCAAAACAACGAAGTTGGGACAGAATATGGTATCTCCAGGTTGTGTCATAAGCCTTTTCCAGGTCAGAAAGGACGGCAACAACGGAGGTCTTCGCAGCAAAAGCAGTACGAATATAGACCTCCAAGTTCACCAGGACATCAGTCGTGCTGCGGCACTTGCGAAAACCAAATTGAGAAGGAGAGAGGTGGTGATGGTGTTCCAAGAACCGCATCAGACGAAAATTATCATACGCTCAAAGATTTTGCAGACAACTCATGAGGGCAATAGGGCGGAAGTTCTTACAGGATGTCCCGAGAGACCCAGGTTTTCGAAGAGAAAGTACACGGCATCGAGCCAGTCCTCAGGTCTGGGAGTCTGACGATGACTCCCAGACCTGGTTATACAGACTCGGTAAATATCGAGACGTGCTAGGAGGGAGATGGCGAAGCATCTCATAATGAATGTCATCTGAGCCCGCTGCCGTAGAACCGCAGAGGGCCAGAGCAGACTGAAGTTCAAAGAGAGAGAAGGGATCGTTATAGGGAAGGCGGAGATGAGTGCGGAAATCTAAGGGATGAGATTCAAGAACGGTCTTACAAAGAAGGAAGAATTGAAGAAGATGAGAACCAGAGCTAACAGAAGAAAAGTGGGAACCCAGTTAGGTCACGACCTGCAGCGGGTCCGCCACAAGAGTACCACGGTGGTGAAGAACCGGAGACATATCTGGAACGAACTTACCCGCAATCTTGCGGATCATCTTCCAGATCTGTGATAGAGGAGTATCAGACGTAATGGTAGAAACGTAAGATTTCCAACTCTGACGCTTAGCTGTACAGATGGTCCTATTGGCCACTGCACTTGCTTTCCGAAACAAAATAAAAGAATCAGCCGTCTGTCGGCATCGGTGTTTCTTCCAGGTTGCACGCTTACAGTGGACAGCCCGAGCACAGTCCGCATTCCACCAGGGAACGCACTTCCGCATGCCCCGAGAGGTAGTGTGAAGAATAGAGCGGAGGACAGTATCGAAGATGGTGTCATGAAAAAGGAGGCGAGCGTGAGGTAGAGGCAGAGAGGAGAGATCAGTGAGAGTAGCATGGAGGGTGAATAGGTTCCAGTCAGCTTTGGCAAACTGTGACTTAGGGAAGGAGAGGGGAGGGTGAAAAGAGAAAAAGGAAATAAGGATGGAGAAATGGTCACTTATGGATGTCATCAAGAACCCACGACTTAAGATCTAAGTAAACGGACGACGAGCAGAGAGATAGATCAACACAAGAAAGGGTGCGAGTTCGAGATTCTAAATGGGGTGGGCTCACCACAATTCAGAAGAGACAGGGAAGAAGAGGATGAACGGTTCGAGAAGGCGGCCTCGGGTGTTTGTCAGAACATCACTCCAGAGGGTATGTCGACAGTTGAAATTACCCAACAGGAGCACTGGCTCTGGCAAGGAGTCCAGGAGGTGCTTAAGATCAGGAGGGGAAATCGAGACATTTGGCAGGGAGATATATGGAACAGACTGTATACCATTTACTCACAAAAACACGGGCAGCAGAACAATGGATAGGCGATGGAAACAGTAGGGGGACGAAGGGAATATCAGTATAAATCAAGAGAGCAGTAGACTTCTGGGCCCCAGCAAGAGCTGGGGGGGGGGAAGAGAATGAAAAGAATAACCAGGAAAGTGACCAGGACGAGCACCAAGCATCGGTTCCTGGAGACAAACACAAAGTGGTGAAAACTGTGTAATGAGAAGTCGGAGTTCATGGAAGTTGGCATAAAATCCACGAATATTCCATTGAAGAAGACATTATCAAAAATAGAAAGGACAGCAACAGAGAACAATGAAGAGACAAAGGTAAAGAACAACACAGTGTATTGAATAAGCTCAGGATCAGGATCAGGGGTCAGTAATATCAGGGTTAGGGGGCATGGGTAAACTTAGTAAGGATTGAGTGAAGGGAAGGGGAGGACAGAGCATACGCAGACAGGTAGGGTCCGGAGGAGGAGGCAACCGAGAAGGGAGGTCAAGGACGGAGGAGGGAGGAGGGGGGGGGCAGAAACCAGGGAGTGCACCTTAGCAAGGACAGCAACTGAGAGGCAATTAGGGGCTAAAGAAACCTCCATAGCTGGGACAGGGGGCCCGACCACCGAAATGGAAGGGGACGGAGCGAGAGTGTCAGAGGGGGGGGGGGTGTGAAGAAGAAAGCGATGCCTTCTTACCTGCTAGGGAGGACGAAGGAGAGGAGCCAGGCTTACGTTTCTGACTCAAAGAGACAGGTGTTCCAGCAACAACGTACTGGGCGACAGACTCAATTGTCTCAACAGGAGAAGATGAACGGGAGGGAACAACTTGAAGATTGCTGGGAGGG